TGATTAGAGTCTCCCCACAAATATTAAATTCTAATTACCCTGCTTTGGAGTAATCAATTCTTATCTACACTATTAATTCAATTGTGCTTCCTCTCTCCAACAATATATTTGCTTGCCCAAGTTTCATCCTTCTTTTTTCAAAAGCCTACATCATCCTCAAAAGTTTTTGTTCTCCTTCCCATACTAAATTTTCTATCTTCCAATCTTTTCCCTCACTACACAAGGCTCCTCCCACCCATCAGTGTTTCCTTATCAACTTCCACTCCATAATTTAATTCTACATCTACCCAAATATCTGTATTCTAATAATGTCCCCAACACGTAAAATTTCAGTTTCAGAAGCCTATACACACACATACTATTGTCCAATTTTCCAAATTCTTCATCCCATTCCCAGCTACACCTGTAACACTGTTCAAGCTTTCACAAAAGTATAATTGGTCAAAATATCACAGAATCACAGAATATGCTGAGTTAGAAGGGACCCACAAGGATCATCAAGTCCAACCCATAGCCCTGCACAGGACCATTCCCAAGAGTCACACCAGGTGCCTGAGAGTATCATCCAAAAGCTTTTTGAACTCTCTCAGGCTTGGTGCTGTGACCACTTCCTTGAGCAGCCTGTTCCAGTGCCCAACTACGAACAGGAAAATGAACAAACAAACAAACAAACCCAGATCCAAACCTACCCACTGTAAATACTGAACTCTATGTTAATAGACCGAACACATTTCCAAAGATCTTATCTGCAAGAGTTACACCTTTTTCTATCTGCCCTTGAAGAGATGATGTGGCACAATAGATACATTTCATCTGCACTCTAAGACACAGAATGCTGGTGCTACCTACATCTAGTGTATGCCATTTGCATTTAAGGTCTTGGCTGAAAATTTTTAAAGTTTTTATGACACATTTAAATAAAACTTCAAGTTCTTTAGCTAATAAAACAGGGCTAAGTAAATTGAACAGAAAATATAAAATTACACATGCTTTCATTTTTGAACAAGCGTGAATCATTCTATACTCTTCCAAGCAACACTATGATACACATTTGTCATTACTTTTCTTTCATCTTTCAGAAACTTACAAGCTGCAATAAGTGTTTGTTTCTGCCTTTTATGTTCTAATCAGGGTGTAATGTCAGATCATACAACTTTATGAACTGCAGCACTTCTACTGTCTTCAGCATATTCATATATTTTACAAATATCTTATTACTGAGATACAACAGACATATCCCTCTCTCTTTGAAGTTAGCTCCTCACAAGAAGAGTCATTCAGACAGCTGCACAACAGGACAACTTTGTTGAGATGAATCCATTTCAAAATCAGCAGTTAAAAATGTTTTATTATCCAGTAGTATTTCTGAGAAAGAACTATTTGTAGCATGAAAAAGTGTGCAAAGCTTTGTTTTAGCTTTATATTTTGTGTTAATCTATTTTCCTTTCAGTTTTGAAGATTCACCAACTGAAGTAGACCACTGTAGTAAAATGACACTATAATAAGAAAACTGCAACTACAACTAATTAATTTTAAGACTAATCTCTGGAACAAATGCGGAAATTGTCTGTGCTGACTGAATAACCCAAGAGAATGCAAAACCTCTGGGTCCTTAAGATGAGCAATAGAGGTATTACATTTTGACTGTATGTTCAGACACTGAGGCAGACTAATAAACCTTGAACACATTTTCATTACATAAAATCATCCCTCAAAATACTTCTTAATTTCCTGAAATGAACTCTTAGCCCTGTTTATAAAGAGGGGTAATATTTTGACATAAAGAAAATGCTGAATTTTAAATCACAGTCTGGATAATGATTATGGAATACCAGAAAAGATTAGTCCTTCTCTAACAGTTGTTGTATTACATTTATAACCAATTCTAACCCTCTTCACCAACTTTACAACAGATTACTACCTACACAGTGTAAAAAGAAGACTTAGAAAGTGCATTCCCTTTGTAAGGAAGGGAATAAAGACAGCTACAACTGAAATATTTGAGAAATACACTGGAAATGTGTCATCTCATTGTTTTCTGAAATAGAGTTCTGATATTGCTGAGTGAAGAAATTATATCGTTCTAGAGAGAGGCTTTAAAAGGCTATTTCAGCTGCAGTGGGGGAAAAGAAGCTTATGTAAAAAAGCAAAAAAGGCAATGACAGAAGTACCAGGGAAACCAGGAAGAATGAGGAGAAAATTTGATACTAGTTTTTATAAACACAAAACGTATGCTTTTAAGTTTACAGCAATGTATGCCCAGTCTTAAAAAGTAGTGGAATTAATTCATCTGCTCTGTAACTTCATGTCATATTTTATATTGAAAGCTTGAGTCAAATGGAATGGATGACTCAAATAATGTATCATTGGCTAGGCCCCCAAGTTAATAAATGATGAAAACCTAACTGATGATTCAAAATGAAATAGTTGTTTCCCTTCTTAATTATCTGTGTCCCTCAGTTATGTAAAAATCAGTGCATCCTGTAGCAGTAGTTCACATGAAAACTGCTGTCACTGACTTCAGAAGCTTAAGCTTTTCATGAAAAAGGGATTCTGATGGATACAAAAATGTGGGAATAAAGACAACATTAATACCTACAGAAGCAGTTTCCTAGATTCCATCATACTCTTGGTGGATGAATTACAATATATCTCCTTGAAGTTTTATTTTTTCCTTTCAAAATCTGTATTACTGTTATCTGGTTACTGCAACCAAAGGTCATTTTAGATAATCTAATCCAAGTGTGAAAAATCATGCTACCCCAAATCCCACTAGGGAAAAAAAAAAAGTGAAATGGGCTGAAAACTGCTTGTTCCTCAATTATTTAAAAGGTAGTCCATATGTAACACTCCAAAATGCAATGAAAAACACAGTAAGTACTACAGTGTTGCACCCCCCCTTTTTTTTTTAATGCTACCTCCTGAGCAGCTTTTTATATTAAATCTGCATTTTTCAAAACAGTATTCAGACAGAAGCAGCTACAACTGAATGGTGTTAAATCACCATGGAATCTGACATTAAGATGGGCAGTACGAAGATGAACAACACCTCTGAAAACAACGCTGAGACATCTTAGGAAATGACAGGCATCTCTAGGAGAACCTTTAGTATGGAATTATGGCATGGAATTAGTTCAGATGGCTTTCTCATTTTAAGTTCTCTACTTTGACTATTCTTTCAGGTAAGAAAGCTAGGGAGACATCATAAATCCTCAGGAAGAAAATGAACGGACAACAAACGAACTTGTCTATAACAAACAAGAAACAAAAGCCTGCTGTGGTTGAACCTCAGCCAGCAACCAAGCCTCACACAGCCACCCGTCACTCCCCCACCAGTGGGATGGGGAGAGAATCAAAAGCAAAGAAACTAGAAAACTCATGGGTTGAGATAAAGACAGTTTAACAGGCAAAGCAAAATTAGGGTTATAAAAAGCTCATAGTCAAACAGTCAGCTTTAACTATGGAACATACTATGTTTTTGGACAACATGCTTTGACACTGTCCTGGGTTATTTGCAGTGTCTGCTGAACAAATTTAATAAAGCTTAGAAAGACAGCCTTAAGGAGAAGCACATAGCACATTTAATGAAAATATTAATAACTTCTATTAGTAAGCAACACCAACAGTAGGGTTGCTCTCTACACAGTAGCCATTTCTAACTATTACATACAAACAAACCCACTGTCTTTCTCCCCACCACCACTGCACTCTACAAATATGGGTTACACTGTCAAAAAATTTGCAGAAATTTAAATTGAAGAATTACTTCAGTTACGTTGTAGGGCACTGCAATGAAAAACAAAAGGCAAGAGGTGAGTTTTTACAAAGGAAGGAATAGGAGAAATATGGAATTTTCTGTTCTTATCACCTATTTGTTTCTGAAAATGCTACCACTGGTGTGTGTATATATACAGAAACTTGGGAACTGTTTTCTCTTTGAAATTACAGGTCAGTTCAAAAAGCATTAGAAGCAGCCAAACATACAGAACACGACAAGAACACTGAGAAATAATAAAAAAAAAAGAGAAGTAAACTACTTAAAATGTTTAGCTCACCTTTCCAACAGCAGCAGCCACTCTGTTGGTCTCCCCTGCTCTTTGCTTTCATTGCAGTGTCCAGCATTATGGCTGAAGGAATAGAGTACAGCAGAACCCCGCTAATTTACCTTACTAATTCATAATCTGCACAAAAAAAATCTGCCACTTTCCCAGCTTCTTAGGCAAAATAAAAGTGAAAATCCTGTAGAGATGTCTTCTACCACTCACATCATATTTATAAATATGCCACACAGTATTGACTAGTACATTATTCAGTATTACCATCAAAATGAAAACTAAAGTAGCTTTAAAAAGAAAATATGTTTCTTTAAGACATCACCATGTACCATGGCACTGACATGCTCATTTTCAAACTTTGAAATTACCAAAATTAACTACCCATCAGTGAATTAGGGAGGCTCTACTGTACTTAAAATTGTAATTTCCTCACTGATATGCTTTTATCTACAATTTTTTTCAGGTTGTTTGCATTTGGAATACAGTAACTACACTTAACTATGTCCTCTTATATATTATAATTAGTGTCCTATCACTGTTTTAGTTATTCAGACTTCCTCTTTCAGAAGATTATACATATTCACTTTAGTATCTGACTTTTATTTTTTTTCTCCTCATAGTTGTTGGGGTTTTTTAAACGCAATATACAACACCAAGTGAAATTCAGCTCCGGTATATTACTGATAATTAATAAAAACCTGACAAATTATCCCAAAATATCACAGATGTACACTTCTGGTTCAAGCCAAAAATCAGAACCTGAATCATTCCCAACTGCCAGTCTTTTAACATGATCAATAAATCACATGGCATTTCTGATCTGGAATAGTTTTTGTCAAGCTTAAAACAGTTACCAGTTTAGTGCAACTCCCATACTTCTCCAGAAAAGAAGAGAGCATACTACCACATTCAAGTATTCAAATTTCAACTGTGAAAAAATCTTACTGGTCTGACATCCCCACATGAGTTGGTAAATTGCCGTGCCAAGCCAAAATCCAGCATATAACACTTCCTACAGGTGCTAGGAAAACGTCCCATTGCGAAGTTTGACTAGGAAGAAAAACAAATACAGATAGATAATAGAAACAAAGACACAGGTTTCAATATATTCATGTATTAATGCAGTAAAACAATCATAAGAAAATTCATATTCTACTTCTGCATCCTTCCTTCCATATTTTCACTTTTATCAAACTCCCATTAAATTTGAAGGAAACCTTGTTAAGAAAAACAGGCATCCAACTTAGCACATCTGAACAGTGGGCTATATTGTCTGACAAGATTGTCATCTTACTTTGTCACTAGAATATATTAAATTTCAGCAAGAATTTTCCAACCATGTCACCCACTCACATATATTGATTTGGACATTTCAAAAAACTACCAATCAAATTGCCAACAAGTTCATCTAAACAAATGCACTAATATTGTATATGCAGAATACAAAATATGGGATGCCAACTGCCTTTTCCAGCCACGGATGGGGAAAGAACCAGGTTTAAAAAACCAGACAAACCACACACCTGAGTAAACTGGAAGCTTAACACAATTAACTCTAGGAAAACTTCTTGTTTCCATTAAGTGGAACAGCAGTACCATTCTAAGTAAATCTGAAATTCAAAACTGCTTCATTGTCTATAGTTGAGGGTAAAAGCCAATCAAAACTATGAACTGAAATTAGTGCGATCAACATTATTTTTAAATGGAACAGAGTTTCAGCATTGCCTAATTGATCACAAGGAAAAAAAACAACCAAGGACTTCAATATTTCAGCTCAAAGCTCGCTTTTAGCATAATCTGTCTAGAAGACAAATAACAAAAGAATAAAAGAACTTGTATTTTTAAGCCAGGAAAACTGCATACTAGAAAGCAATCATGTCTTCTTTTGCATTTGTGAGTCACAACATAACTCGTAAAGGGGAAGAAAAATTACTTCTTTTATGAATCTAATATATGACCTCACGGTGTTGTTTATCCTGTCTCAACCTTTAAATTTTGGGGTTTTTTCCTTCCCCTGATCAAACTCTCCATTTTCATCCTATCTGAGCCCACAGACTCCACCAAGATATAGCTCAACAAGAAGATGTCCCTAATCCATCCTGCCAGTCATAAGGGAACACATTTCCCATTCAAAACTTAAAACTCTTTCATCATCAAATTCTTGAGACCCAGCTAAGTTCTTCTCACCTATTTCACTTGACATTCACTGCCTCTATGCCCTTAAATGAGGAGGGTTCAGGGAGAATACAAATTTTATAAAGAGTTGCCAGGAAGAAGTGATGAAAAAGAAAATTTCCTAATGCACAGAAACTTATCAAAGGTTTTAGGTAAGCATCATTAAGTTGACAGGAAGTTTGGCTACATGTCAGATACAACCAGCCATGCGTGTATCTATTAGAAAACGCAAGATTTCCTTATTTTTTTCTCATTTACAAATTTTGACAGTACAGTGTTCTAATCATATTTTAAATACACAGCAATATTAAAAAGAGGCGGTGTAATTTCAGGAATAAAGTCAAAACCAGAAAAAACAGGGAGAATAAAAGCCTGATATTATCAGGAAGGCACTACCCTCATGGTATATTGACAACAGATTTTATTGGAATTGCACAATAAAAAATACCTTTCTCTTACAGTCTGTCCTTCCTCTCCTTATTTGTTAAGAATACATTAAATACAAAAAATTGCTATTGAAGGGCTTAAAAATACGTCCTACATTTAGTATCTATTCTTTTAGATTTATTATATGACAATATTACCTGCCATTAGTCAAACACATTATATCATATCTCGTGGCAAATACTCTTGATTACATGCTGCTACAGATAAGAGTTGGAAGTTTTAACTACAGAAAACTGCAAGGAGGCCTAAATTAACTGGGGACAATGATGACAAGGACCAAAGTTACTGTTGTTGCATTCCAACATTAATTAAGAGAAAAAAAATCTGTCCTATCTGATGATTTAACCTTCAGTTTTCTGTCATTTTTGCACTTTAGCATCTAGTACAGAACCTATTCTTATTTATGCAGCCATCTAATGACCACATCTTACTTGCCTGTTTTGATTTAATGGGCAGACTTACTGGTTTTATGTCCCTGTGCAGGAATCCCACAGAATGAATACTTTCAATAGATTCCAAAATCTGCTTCCCAAGCCGCAGAGTGGTACTAATGGTGAACGTTCCTCGAGATTGGCTCCGACGCAGGTCTGCCAAGTTCCGACCCTGATTAAATCAAAACAATGTTTTCATAAAAAAAAGACTAAAGCCAAGATTCACAGATGGTGTAATATCTTCCTACTTCTTTAGCTGTTCGTGGTTAACCATGGAATACTCTCAATACCTATTTTAACATTTAAGGATAACACATCTCACCTAAGTGTATACACAAGTATTTCCAACAGTAAATTTTGAATCTGTTTTTGAAAATATGAATCTTAGTATCTGAATACATAGAACAAACTAATCTCTGTTAGAAGACTAGTACAAACACTATTAGTTAACATCGTATCTGTGTCACACCTGAAAAATAGCCACTGAGAAAACGCTCACAAAGAGTTCTTTACACTCATCTCTTTAAGGAAAAGTACATAATTTAATTATACATTATAGCCGAAAGGATGAGAAATATACTATGTAGGAAATGCAAGTCTGTGACATCACAAAACTGTTGGTCTTCCAAAATAACAGATGACCAACAGTGTGAACTAGAGCACACTTTTTCTAGTATTCATATTCACCAAGATGATAAAGGACAATAATCTCATAACCTTCATTGCTAATCATCCATTTTATCCCTTTTTTACAGGAACAAGTCTTTCAGTAAAGTGAATTAAGTGTTTTCTCTTATGTGCAAAGAGTATTTTTTTCACTTTTATCAAAAAACCATCAAAATGCAGAGACAAATATAACACATTTTAGACTATCTTCAAGTGAAGACTTAAAAGGAATGTAAATTATCTCAGAAGATATCACAGTTCACTCTTTCTAAAGTGAGAGATCTTTCTCAGGATGCAAGTTTTCTCCTTTTTGACAGAATTATGGAAAGGATATAATAAAAGGATACAGATATAAGGATATGTTCAATTTAGCTCTGCTCACTACTATGTGTTCGTGATCTTTGAGGTACTACTTTTAGTCAGGCATCCTCTAAAATTTTACTAGTATTTTCCCATATGCTTGGCTAATAATCCAAAACACACAAGCAAACATTGAGCTCTGTTTGATACACTGACCTGCAACTGCATGACCACATAGTTAAATCTGTCATTGCGTCCACATCCGATGAATCTACAGACATGATCTTTTCCTGAGAGAAAAAGAAGCAAATTAGCCAATAATAATGAAATTCTGCGGTTTATTCCTTTAAATACCTAGCAAATTACTTAAAATTATAGTTATATTTCTATAGAGGTGCTCAATAAACTAAGTCCCCCACAATTCAGCAGCAGTAAAACTAAAGTTAGTTCTACCTGCAATTAAACAAAAGCTTTTTCCCATAATATATGAAGGTCTACCACAGCCATCACTCTTCCATAAGAAAAGATGCACGACAACATGCCTAAAGATCCAAAAACTTGAGGTATTTTGGACTGGAGAGGTTGTTTTCTTACAAAGCTGGTGGCTTGTTACAGACAATAATCTGAGTCACCGTTCCTCTTTTCTATAAGCTGCAGTTGCCGTGATGAAAGAGAACAGTAGGAGTTACTTGTTGGGCTATGTTTTGTATTAAAAAATTGTAGAAATTATAATTCAACAAATCCAATTTATTAACATCTTTTTTCTAGAATATGATCTTTGTTATTTAGCTATAAAAGATAAAGTCATCTCAGGTACACTGAAACAGAGAAAAAAATATTATAGTTTTGTTTAAGCCAATTTTCTCTAAAGCCTCCTCCTGTCCTAGGAGCAAACTGCGGAGGAGACGAAGGCTGGTCAAAAATAATCTCCTTACTATCCTGCAGTTGTAAGTCAAAACATAAGATTCCCCAGTAAATAAAAAGGCAAGCCAAGGACTGTAGCAGGGAAACAGAATGGGAATACAAATTCATTGTTATTTTGATATCTGTGTTCATTGTCTTGGAGAGAAGCTGGGAGCCCTTATGATCCCACTCTGTGACAGAACAGGGAACTGTAGGGTTTAAGTCCCTGAGGCCATTTACCTTCCTTTCTGACACTGTGGAAGCTACAGCCAATAGAAAGTCGATGGTCTCAAGTGGTTACTAAAGGTGTGTAAAATTTGTGTCATCTAAGGTTTCTTTCATGAATTTCTTTACCCTTAGAATTACCAGACTCTCATAAAGCGAGGGAGGAGGGGTGGGGGGGAAGTGAAAGGAGAAAGGCAATTAAAAAATGAAAGAAAACCCCAAACATTACTTTTTTTCAAATGACCCTTGTGGTTAGCTATAGATCTGAGGGGACTTTTTGCTACTACTGCACTCGCTGCACTCAGAGCTCCATCAAAGCCCTACTTGACCCTATAGCTTCTGAATATTCTCACTTCACTTGACAGAAGAGTGGTTGTCTGTTTATTGCTTCCTCAGGAAGCTTCCTGCCACATACAATTAAATCAGATAGGCCCATTTAAAAAAAGAAAATATTACAGGATTCATCACAATAATTTATTTTAAAAGAAATCTCTATAATTTCTGCAAATATGTAAATACTAAGCTATTAAGTACCACTGCTTTTCCTCCACTTTTTCCTTCCACCCATTCATTTAAGTAAGACAGGCAGTATTACAGACAGTATCATTTTATGAAGAAAAAGACTTAGCAGCACATTTGTCAAGATGAAATTTTGTATATTCATTGCTGCAGTTTCCAGTTAATGAAGTGTCATCTCAAATTCTTATGATTCATTTTACATCCACTGTGGGTATGCTGAAGGAACATCTTCAGAGAAATGTATATTAGTCAGATTTTATCTGTCCAATACAGAAAATCTCCAAAATGTGGTTCGGTCAGAGAAATCCCACTTCAACTGGAGCACCAACTCAGTTTGTGTGGTCAGTTCTCTGGAAACTAACTTCTATAAAAACCTGAGGAAAGAGGGAAGAGAAGTGGGGCCTGTACACCTTATTCAAATAGAATGATCCTCCACCACTCCAGTGGGGCTACAGATTCCTACTTGAGCCTTACACATACTCCTTTTCCCTCAGCAAGAAAACAGTATTTTCTCTCACCTATGAGCTACACGACTGGTGTTCAGGGAGAGAAGGTGATGTTAACAGGCTGCAGCAAACAACTATGCCCTCAAAAAACCTCCTAGGGAGGGTAGGAAGCCTACACCCCATTCCCCAGGCTGCTGCAGCGTATCGCTGCAGGGAGCTGTAGAGCCTACACCAGGGGCAGCCCAGTGCTAAACTACGCTGGGGAGCTGTAAATGAGTGAGGGAGAAGCCTGTAAGGTTGTGTGAGACGGAAACCAACTGAGTGAGTCTCACTCTCACTGAGTGAGATGTGATAAATCTGTCTCCTCCCATCTGACTGTGGGAACAGATGGCCTAACAACATGGTTAAACAAAACAACCATCTGTTGCAGCAGAGTTCTTTTTCTTAAAAGGAGAACCAGGGAGCTTAAAGAGTTAAACAGTATTCTGCAACACTAAATACATGACAGAAGGGGGGAAAAAAAAAAAGAAGATGTAATTGATGACTAAGCTGTAATAAATGGCCACATCAGTGAACATACTCCTCCTTCATAATTAAGAGAGAAGTCATACGACTACTCACACATTTAAGCAAGTTTTGCTAGGTCAGTTTTAAAAGAGCTTCTTTGAAGTTTTTCACTATTCACTGTACTGTATACCCACAAAGTTATTACTCATTTTCCCACGTAATAAATGACCACACTGTTTTAATTTTCAAAATTCTGAAAGTAAAGAATGATAAAAAATAGTACATCCCTGCACTTCTGCCAACAGTTTTTCTCATTTCAGATTCTAATACAGATACACTCAAAAGCATGTTCATAACCCTAAGAATGTGCCTATTTCTAGTAAAGACTGGAAGAGCTGTTCTGCTTGATTGAGACATATTACACCTCTTTATTTAATTCTTTTCCTAAAAGCCTGTTTTTTCATAACTTTCCCAGAAATTGTACACATTTTTTAAAATCAGATCTACACATCAAGAGAATTTTGAATTATTCCGTCAGCTCATGTCTCTCATTGCATACAATTCATAGATCAAACTTGCCAACCATTTGCAAGCAAAAGGATTTTCATGATGATTTTATTCCTTCCTCTATGTCCAAGGTAACTAGAACACCTTGAAAGTAAGAGAACATAAGCCCTTTGAGAAAAGGATAATAATTATTTACATACATAAATACATACACACACTCGCCAAAAAGGGATAGAAGAACAAGATAAAAGTTGTTCTCAGAGGATGTACTCCATTAGAAGGTTGTTACAAAAATATCCTAAAAGACCTGTTTACAATTTCACCTGTTCTGAATTAAAAGAAATTGTCAAAACCAAGACATTTCTATATGGTAAATGAAGCATTTAACAAAAAAATATTCTTCAAGAAACAATTATAACATTGTTTTATACTGCCCATTTTCATCCATTTTTCTTGATTTTCTCTATGCTTCTAATTTTTAGGTTTTCCACACTGAAAACTTGGGAAGGTAAAGAAATTACTGGAAATGGCTCCTAGGAGCAAAGATTTTACGTAAAACATAAAATGGTTTCTACCATAATCTTATTTAATAAAAATCCTTTAAGTATGGATAAAAATAGGTGCATGTAAGAATAAAGTTCTCTATCTGTGCCAACTACAAATCTCAATATATGCAAAAGCTTCACCTTTGTCCTGTCTCTTCCCTGTAGTTGCTTTCCTGATCATCTACAATATTTCCTATCTTAAACCAGAGTAGTAACAGCGTTAAGTGTGGAACTTCTACAGCGATGACTAAATGTCACTTCTAATGGTATTATCGTGAGAGCACTAACTTTTTAATGTTTTTTAACTGTGCAAGAGAATAAAAAGTTATAAAAACTAAGAAATAATCATATTTAGATTGTTTACTCAGAAGAAAGGTTGTCAAAAGAGCTCCTTCAAAAGATCTCATACAAAAATTGAGTTTCAGTTATATAAAAGCTTCTAATTATTGTTTGCTCAAAGAAATAATATCGAGAAAACAAATAACTGAAATATTTATTCAGCTTATATTTCATGTGGATTATTTGTCTCAGTGGATCTGTTGTTCAGGTGTTTCATTGTTCTGTTATTTTTATCTTGGCAACATTTACTATGGTTCAACAGAACCAAAGACTCTTCTGCAGGAAGACTTGGGTTGCTAAAGGAATTAGAATGTTCTTATCAGTCTTCCTTTGGGAGTATAACTTCTGAAAGGTCCTACAGCAATTATTCACATATCAGTATTTTATTATTTCAGCAAATATTTTTTTTTCAAAAGTATTTCAAAAGGTCAACAAGTTTTTACTAAGAAAAAATCATTTTTCTAACATCTTAACTCAAAATCAACTATTTTTTACAGTAGAAAGTTATCATGCACTCCAGTTACACAGTCAGATATAACGTCATATTTTTATAAATACATTGGCATTGTAGTGCTACCAAAGTCCAATATTTTCTTTCAGACCTACTATTTTCCTCATTGCTTCAGCTATTTGTAAAAATAGAATCAAGCTCATGTGTGCAAAAAAAAAAAAAAAGAAAAATTAATTCAGAGCATTTAAAAACTCTGGAATTACAGAGTATTGGTTATTCAAAACTCACTATCTTTAAAATAATTTCTTTCAAGAACGCTGATAGATGTTTTCTAATTTTAAAATTGGCAATACTGAAATTTACTACTCATCTGTGGACAAGAAACTCTAAAATTCAAACAAAACTAAAATGCAGTCCTTAAATCTCTTTGCTCAGCTATACAATACTAGATGTTTTTTGTGAAATCCTTTAAACAGACAAACGTAGGAGCAGTTTGTTAACATTATAACATGTGACACGCTTGCCTCTTGAATCTATAGAGGCTGTCAATTTCTGCTGCAGTGTGACCTTTACAGCACATTAGGCAGCACCATATGTCATCCAGATTTTGTTTTATTCAAACTAAGAGTTTGGGAAAATTGGGCTGCTGACAGGAACACATGTATTATTCAAAATCTTCCAGATTAAAACCAAAAGATTTTAAAGAAAGAGTCTCCCTTTAAGCTTTCTTTCAACAATCTTGTGTTGTGAAAAGCAAGGAAGAGAAGCCATTGCATATTTCTCAGTATTGATAGCTTCAGACATTGAAGTATTTAAAGGTATATAAAAAGTGACTATTCAAATTCTGACTCGAGGAACTGATCCATAAAAGTGTTTCAGGATTTTACATGTCAGTATTTTTTTCCTACCAGTTAGAGTACTTTCAAGTTGGAGATTATGTTTGTTCATGGTTTTATTGTTTTGGGTTTTTTTAAATATGTTTCCCATTTTGACACCAGAATTCTTCATTTTATTTTCATGTCATCCCAAATCAAAGAAAAATTTAATTGTAGTAAGACTTTCATAATCTGAAAGAGCTTCTATTCCACTTGTTATAACCATTTAGGAGTAACCTGCACAATATGAGAAATATTTGCTCAAACTATGACTAAATAAGAGATTATAATGATTTTTTAAAGAAGATACACTGACATTCTACTTCTGGCATATCCAAGGTACAGCCTTACCTTGCAGCTTTTTCAACACAGCTACTTCCATTTTCAGTACTTGCTTTGGCTGCTGAGCTGATTCGACCTTTAGTGCAACATTTTCCCGAGTAAGCAAGTCCAGTGCATCGTAAATTTCTCCAAATCCTCCACCTCCTATTTTCCTCAACTATATTGTGGGGGGGTGGGGGAAGAAAGAACAAAAATATATTTTAAAAAGAGGGGAGAAGAAAAGAAACAAAACATCAATTCTTCTTTGTACTGCCTCTCATACTGCAAACACAGTTGTATTGCAAATAGATTTTAAAGTAATATCCTTCAGTACAGTATAAAAGAGCTACTCTGAATAATCTACAAAGGTATGGCTAACCACAGTTTGGAAGAGAACACACCTGATCTCTATCTGCACTAAACTCCCTGTATGTAATACAATAGAAGAGTGCACTAGTATTCCCAGCATGAATCTGAGCTGTCAGTATGCTGAATAAAGTCTTTCCTCAAATAGTCACATACTACCCAGAGACCTTCAAATACAAGTGCACTGTGACATTTTTAAAATATGCCATCTTTTTCACTTTTCAGAAATGCACACACTGAATACTAAAGTTATACAAGTTCTTGGACTCCTCAAAAGAGACAGTATTTTGTATTATATGAAGTAACTTAGAAAAAATAGCTACATCAATAAATTATATGAAATGACTAAGATTATCTTTGAATATACATTTCAAACGTTACTCGCATTTGAATGGTTCACCAATAACATTCTTATTAACAAACATACTAAAGAAACTCCCAGCACTGAAAGTTTCATCTGTGCTAGGAGAGGTAAAAAAATGCTCATGGCACACTAATTAGTTTGCACTACATTTAGAGTAAATATTACTAGTCGTGTTTTCACTCTGCTTTAAGTGTTCACAGGGAACAGACACTTGTCTGGGTTTTGGTATCAAAAATGTCAACGTTATTTCATGAAATGCTTTTATATGGCTATCTCCCCCATAGCTAACATTCTAAAACTGATAAAATAAAAAAGGAGACAGAAAGAAATTACCCTAAGACTGACATGTTTTTCTAAATGTCATTTGAAAACATATAGTTGCTAACCTAACTTTAAATGGCTACACTGTACTAAATGTCATCTAAACATTCTGAGGTTCTAGAGAGCAGCAATATGCTGACCTATCTTCAGATTCTGAAAATAAATCTAATGTCTCCTAATCCAGACAATCAGATAGTTGGCTGAGAAATACCTCCTTTAAAATACCCTAGGCCCCTACTCATATTGTTTACCTGCCTTTTTCATTGCATGGGATTTTTGTTCTGTATTATTACAATTATACTCAGTATTTCATCATGCACGTTCTGTCCTGAGGATCTTCCACCATTGCAAACAACAGCTATTTCAGTTCTTAAGATAAGGAAAATACGGTCCAAGATATGTAGCATTATCTGCATTACTCACTTCTGGACAATTCACTGCCAGTTTTAAAACAGGATACACAGCATACCACATTTTCAGACCTACAGAACTAACCGACCTAAATATTTCCTTCTAGTGCACACTAACTGCTAGCAAATGCACTCTCCTCCACAGGCTATTTCCTTTCTCTGAAGCAGGGTAACATGCATCCTACCAACCCAGGCTTAAGCTCAATTCTCTTTAATCTACATCTTTAAAGAATCCAGGTTGAACGCTATAACAATGACAAAACATGAGAAATAGTAACCTTTCAAGTCCCGTGAAATACTCAGTATACCTTGGTTACATTCACATGTATTTAATATATGCAGAGTGTTAGTCCTTACAGAAAGGAAAGAGATCTGTCATCTAAATACTGGGAAAAACAGCTAGTTTTAACAGGATTACATATATGCATACACATTTTAAAAAAATTTCTATGTTATCAACGTATATCTCTCAAGGACGTAGTTTTGTAACTAATTTGGCCATTTTAAGTCTACACTTTTCTGTTCCACCTCTTGGTCTGGTAATACCCTTATCCTGACTGAGCTATGAGCTATTAATAGGGCTTCAACAATTAAACACAGGAATTGATCTGACTATAGTTTTCAGCATAAGTTACCCACAGGAAATATTTGGCTCTCTTCTACCTGTAATACTTGAACTGGAAAACATGTAAGAGAAAATGTACAGTCACATGAGATGAACTATATCCTACTCTCAACATTTTCCAGAAGACATCTATCTCATCATCAGTCTACCTTACACTGGAAAGAAAATAAACCTGAAGAAAACAGAACTTACATTTGCACACCTCAGACAACTGAGTAGTTTTGTGGATGATAATAAATTAGTATGCTGGTATCTATTTATTAATGGTATTTTATTCTACTTGATCTGATTCAAGACTACGCTTTCAGTTTTTCCTTCAATGCAGTTTTAAGATGAAATATATGAAGGTATTTTACAAATACTTATATTCCAGAGACAGCTCTTTAGGTTCTATTTACACTAAAGGAAATATAAAGGTTTCCTAGACAAAGCTATGGGCTTCCTGCCTATTTAAAAGGAAGACAGAACACAAGACAGTTGAAATTATTTTCTCTATATGAAGTTGAAATGAATGATGAATCTGTATCTTATATGTTCATTCTTACAGTATAAATAAAATCTTGATATGGGAGTAATATAAAGCAAAGATGTTGTAAGTGATTCAGAATCCATTCACAGCCTACTAGACACACAGAGATACTCCCAATGCTCTATTGTGAACTGTGTGTTTTTTGTTTTCCTTTTTTTTTTCATTTTAAGCAAAAAAAAAAAAATAAAGTCATCAGGGGAATGGAGAAGAAACTATGAGAACTCAGCCTGTCTTCCCCATCAAACATAGCTTCAAATGGATACTATTTCCCTCAAGATGAAAATCAAGGATATGAAGACCAAAAGGAAACAGAGCTATGTACTGTAAAGCCAATGCTGGCACACAGTCAAATGAATATCAATCAGCCAGCAATAAATCTATGATACAAAATCCAACAGATAAAAGGAAGAGCAGCAAGGTCCTGAAAGATCTTTCTATAAAGCAGTAACATGTCTCACAAACTTACTAGTTTCAGGGCGGTGTCTGACTGATCTCCAAAATGGAGTGACATAATCACTGCCTGACTAGATTCAATATACTAACAGGATTCTTCTAATTGTGCTCTGAACAGGCACTAAATCGGGATTTAAGAGCTTCCCTAGGTACTTACCAGGAAAAAAAATAACCCACCTTAAATCCGCATAGCTTCTTCTCAAAGTAGGATGAGAGAAACAAGTGGCTTTAAAGCACATTCACCATTTAATGTAAGTATTAGGCAAAATACATCGCACAAGAGTTTTCGAACCAATTTCAAAGCACAATCTAATTCTTTTTAAAAACATGTTTTAAAGAAGACGAAGAATTGCAAGAAGGCATACTCACCACCTTCCATCGTTCTTTGACCAATATTCCCACACTGAGGATATCGGGCTGCTCCCCTCCTCCACTCATTGCAACCTCCTGAGGTGATGGAGCTGCTATGCGAAGTGTGTGGCAATAGAAACCATCCAGATCCTAGGAGTGGCTTCCATTTAACCAGTCACTGCAGAAACAGAGCAGAACATGGGATTTCAGTGATTACCAGAACAACAGGAAATACAGAAAAAGTTGTGTTTCTCATCCAGCCCCTTAACTAGTTTTTGTATCCCGTAGTGTCCTATGTTGAAATTCTAGACCAACAGCTTCCAGTACAGAAAGAAGTTTTTTACCTGCTCTCTCTCAAACCTCCAATGCCAATCTCAAAATGGAACAAACAAATATAAACATTTTCACAATTATAATCTATAAGCAGTTTCAAACTGCTGCACAGATAATTGCATTTAAACTTAATTTTAATAACAACTTTTTAAAATGTAATTACTCACTAAATAGTTGTTTAATTAATTAATAGTAATATATAATAAGCTTAAAAAAACACCAAAAATTATATTAAAAATAGATACTTCAATCAGGATTGCACTGCACACAGATTACTCCACATTTTACAATGTGTTTTACATAGCTAGGATTACTTATGATTAAATACATTTAAGTACAATTTTGTTGATTTATGTCAGGCTATAAATAGGTACAGGAAAAAAACTTTTCTTCAGTAATTTTGACAAAGTTTATTTTTTTAATTTTCTGGTTTCAGTCACCATTGCAAAATTGAATTTTACACAGCACTATAAAAATTTATATTTTTGAGATTAATATATCCATGACGGTTCCCATCAGCAACTTTTCTACCACCAATTAAAAGTTTATGTCAATTGTTTGAAGCTTTTCTAGAATAGCACTTTTTTATTACACTGGTATAATTATACAAATGTAAACCTTTGTATAAGTTCTCTTATCCAAAGACAATACTCTTCAAAAAGGGTATTTGTTTTCAATTTATTTCTATCATTTTCAAAATAGCATAAACTGCAAGTGAACAATTGTTTTCTTCCTGAATCAACACAAAACTAATATGCAAAATTGGTAAAACCATTCTGATTTAAATGAGCAGTATGGCCTTCCCTGTGGCTAAATGCCAAGTTTACTACTGGCCTAAATTATGCTTTTTTTTTAAAAAACACTCTGCTGCTTAAACGACTTAGCTTTTAAGACAGACATTTGTTTGACATGATAGTAACTGTGTGGGGGGTCATATTCTTTCATATTTCTTTTTCATATTATATTTATGTCTCTTTGCTCAATTGTACATTCTAATATTTAAACCAACTCCAAACAAAACAGATCCCTCAGAACAAAAATTAATCTGGATTAGCTGAAGATCTAAATTTATACCAAATTAGAGTGGATTACATCCCTGTAAAGGAGTGCTCCTTCAGATACGTAGCCTGAGTTGGTTTAATTCAAACAAATGAAGGGAAAGCAAATTAAGATTGTGTATTCTGGGTAACAGCATCCATCCCACAATTTAATCAAGTTAAACTAAACCAATTTAAATTCTACCAGTGCTAGTAAATCCTCCCCTGCAGATAAGGTCAAAAATCCATAAATGACCATAGTTCTTTTTTGCAAACACCCTTAACATTACTAACCACTGAGCACAGTTACTGCCCTTTCCAACAGAATTATCATAACGCAGTCAAGAACTAAATAAGCCAAAGACAAAATGAAATGGTACTAATGAAGGGGAAAAGGTCTATTTCCAAAATTACATGCTTACAGCACATAGTCATTTTTCCATTTACTCAAACATTTGCTTCTCTTTCTTCCACCAGCCAGTTACATCAAAGTAAATGGTGGTCTTTACCAAACAAATTGTTCACTCCTGTTCACAGTCATTTTAGAGTTTTTTGTTAATACTGCTATCAGCCTTGATACGTTTGTTTTTTTTTAATACATTTCAAATTACAATTTATCATCACAGCTCTGACAAACATTTCTAGAGTAATTCATTCATGGAGCTTATTAAGAGAGCATCAGCAACAGGGCCCGGAGTGCAAAGGTATAACACAAATATCCACATAAATATTCCATATTTTAAGAATTGTCAAAGAAGTATTACCATATGTAACATCTGCATGGCCAGAGTAACAAAATCTTCATTTATACACAAATCCTCAACCCTATTCCAATACACTGATTCCTCATTATATCATCCTATATCATTACAAGGCAATAACATCTATTCTATATCATCAGTAACTGGTATTCAAAGCAACAAAACACCAGGACCCAATAAATTGTCAAGCACAGGAGGTAAAATTTGTCTCCTGAGCCTTGGAAGACAAAGTACTAAACTCCTCCTAAAGCTTAATAATCAAGGGCATGCATTATTTTACTTGAAAAAGTGAACGTTTCACAAATATGTTGAGGTCAATTTGAAGAATCCTGTTTTCATCAAGACCCCTAATAAAGCAGCAGGAGGTCTCAGTGACAAATTTGAAGGTCAGAAAGCTTGAAATTTTCCCAAACTTTTGACTGATCAGGCCACATAACTTCACCCCCTTCAGTGAATTAGCACACACTAATTTACCGTAATAGTCCAAATAATGAATAGTCCCCTAACTTCACTGGTAACATGTCCACTATATTCCTTCCCTCATAATAAGCATAACTTGCTTTGCTTTGAGGTTGAATATGTCTAATTGTAGGTTTTTTATCAATGAACTTGGTTACAGTTTTGGTAACCAAATTCCATTCCCAGTAATTTCACCTCATTTAAACATCTAAACGTATTTTTTTAACCTCCTCTAAATTAATAAATTAAGCTTTAAGCCTTCCTTCCTATCCCATAGGTCTTTTATGTGGTTCTCCTTTGAAAACCCTCTCCTTGCTCCACATTATTCTTGTGGTATGGTCAGCAACACTGAGTTAGACATAAATGCTGAATTACACTCTATCTTTCCAATACCTAGTATGGAGAAAAGATGTTTTTTTATTAATTTGCAAGAGCAGTCTTATTTCTCTAATTTAAGTCTGGAACTGCTTTATACTTTTGCTAAATCACACCTTTATCATACTTTTTACACCTCCATGCTTACACTCAGGCACTGTTGCAAGCACATGGTTTCTATAAACCATTTGTTATTCACAATCTGATCTAGACAGTTTCCATGCTCTGATGTGTTGTCTAATGACCTTAACACTGTGTAACTGAAAATCTGTGAGTTATTGATGTACTGCAGTGGATAAATATCTTCACGTTCCTTACCTAAAAACAGATAACACATATTCTAGTAAGTGCAATCTAGGTTATGATCCCCTTCTCCAAATTTACGTGGAAAAAAAAAAAGGGCATTATTAGAGAGGACTACATTCAAGGGACAGACATAGATATGCATTCTTTGGAGGTGGTGCTCAGGTCAAGATTGAAACTGAAATTTCTCTGAATTTGGAATGATTTAAATTCAGACTGACCCTTTCCAAATTCCAGATGAAATAATGGCTCATAAAAGTACATATAGTTCCATTTGTATAACTGAAACATTTTGCTTTCAGCACAGCTCTTTAACAGCCTACAATGCTGTTAAACAATTTAGGAAAGCTCCAGTATGTTCTGTATTCCACTGAAGCAGATGAATAATTAATGGTATACGGTTAAGGTGCAAGTTTTCCCTTACTCATTCAGCAGATGAATCCTTGAGTAGTGCAGTTTTAAAGGTGGTAGTACAGTTATTTTCAGCACAATGAGCACTTCTTTATAATTCCCCTAAAAAAGTAACAGTCATTTTAATTGCAACATGTCTCATAAAATTCTGTATTTGTTAACTCATCAGTTGCTTTACCAGATCAGTTTATCACTTCAGAAGAACTTTTGAAGATACCAGCATTGCTACAATTAAAAGCAATTAGCCCTGTGTCAAATTTATTTCCAGATGACAGGTCATGGAGTAACTAGGACAACACAATGAGGATAGACTGTTCCATAACATAAGCCTGAGAACTGATCATTGTATAATATAAGAACAGGTAAAGAAGTATTAGTACTAATATCCAGAATACACTACCAACAGCATCCATTACTTAAAACTCTTCTATCCACTCAACTGATTTTAATTACACATCAGCCCCACAAAAGACTTCTTTAATTTATCCCAAACAAGTACAGTAAGAGATTATATGTTAGTAGAAAGCAATAGTGCAAAACTTGCAGAAAAAAAAAAAGAAGTCAATTTTGTAATAGCTGATTCTAGCTCAGCAAGCAAAGACAATCTTTTCATGTCATTTGCATGTGTGTATATAGTTTCTTTAGAGACAGCCCTAGACTGAAGCCAATCTCTGCTTACCAGCCATCACACATGTTTAAATTCAGATCTAAGGTTGAGAATGTAGCACAGACAACTTTGGCTGAATGGATGTCCTGTAAGTTCCAGGACAAAGCAAGTAAGCACAGAAGATTAAGTCTGTTCCATATAAAGGATTACATGTCCTCTTACCTCTACTATGGAATAATATCAACCTTTTACTATTAGGAACTCTCTGTGCTTGTTAGGAGCTCTATCTGCCTGCCTTCAGTTCACTTAAGAAACTAGTAAATTAACTGGAATCTACCTAAGATGGTTTCCCCTTCTGTACTTTCTACTTTTGAGCAGAACTTAAGGAACAAATAAAATATTAACAGCTCAGCATAACAAGAAAATCAGGGCAGGCAAAGTTCAAAGGTCCTAATTCCATCACATTTATGATAAAGTACAGTGTCTTAGAAATGCTAAGAGCATGTTGAAATTGTAAATTCCAAGGCCAGAAATTAATTGTGTCTATTTGAACACCCAAACTAGAAAGCTATCTTACAAACAAACCTGAATATCTTCTAAATACATCAATTAAAAGCTGGGGTTTTGAAAATCATCATTCACCACATCGATAAGAAAACAAATTTAAGACCTTGACTCAAATTTCCAACTTTACTGGTTGTGAAGAAAATCTTTTTAAAAACTCAACACATTACCAATACCATTTTAGGTTTTCCTTTCTCAAGCTCTTGGGTGCCAAAATACTCATCACCACTTGCAGATTCCAGGTGTGAAAAGCTCCCAGCTGTCTTGTGTGCTATTGCCAAAGAGTCTACATTTCCTTCTGGCAACTTCTGCAATTACAGCTATGTTG